TATGAGGGGACAAATTTGCAATATTTTGTTTAAAAAAAGTAGTTATAAGCCCGAAAAAAATTTTTTCGTCCCTTTTTTTGTATATTGTACCCCTAAAATGGTACACTGACCGAAATTTTTTTTGGCGGGGGGGGGAGGGGAGGTCGCCGAAAAAATTTAGCCCCGCCAGAATGAAATCTGTTCCGCCGCCGCTGATTGTTTCAAAATACCGTTTTAACGTTTAATTCTACTTTATATTAACATCCTAATTCAATACAAATTTGTGTGAGGTAAAAAAACCCACCTGTATCAAACAGGACGGAGAATAAAAAATATATATGCATACAATTCACACGATCAAGGAACAAATGAAATATTTCGCTAAACTTAAAGCCTTGGCCAAACGTAAGAAACAATGTCGCGGAAATATTCGTGATTTTTAATTGGCTTTTATTGCCGACGCAAAATTTGCTTCCCAGAAAGCAAATTATTTCCGATTTCAGAAGCATTTTATGAAACACTCTTTATCCGTTTGCCGACGCTGATAAGACAATATGACAAACCGAAAGATTGGAAAGACAAATAATATGACAACAGTGTTTCCCAGTTCGTCCCGGGCTTTAAGGGATATTTATATAAACTCGAAATTCATCATAAAAAAAGATAAATTGGGAGGAAATATAAAATCCATAATTTCATTATAGCTATCTATAATTGAAATAAATGTTTTCATCTTTGAACCCAGATTTTCATCAGAGCAATAAAATCCCACTTATTGGATGGCTCAAAAAGAGATTGCATGTATTCTGCAATAAGCTATCCTGGCTTTTGTCTGGTAAAGTTCTACTTCTCGTATTTGAACTATTTCATGTATTATATTTATATTGTGACATAAGTTGGTATTTAGCCATGCACTATCTAGAATAACAACGAACGATTCAGCCTGGTTTTTCGTGTTAATTATTTTATTTACATACTGTTAACCCTGTCCATGAGAGGGATATATGTGTTGATAATATAAATACTGTGGATCCTAATGAGAATATCGAATAAGTAAATAAATACTGATCTACTCCACTGATAATACCTACATGCATTACCATCATTGTTCACCTCAAATCATTAATAATTCATGAGCAAATTAGCCAACCATATTGCTTTATTTTGCTCACATGATAATACTAGATACTTTATGAAGTATATTGATCCTGTAGTGTTATGAAGTATATTGATCCTGTAGTGTCCTAGGACTGGATTAAAATTAATTCAGTCCTTGGACTGGATCAAAATTAATTAAGTAGTGATTTATTCGTACATGAGATGTCATTTCAAATCCTCCAATTCGGACTGGACTAGATTTCATGTCCTCACATTTTGATCCAGTCCTCTGATTCGCCTCGGACGTGATCAAATTGTGTGGACTTGAAATCTAGTCCAGTCCTCATAGTCGGATTTGAAATATTATCCCTTGTCAAATCAGATGCCAATGGTGGCCAAGGAAGATTCAGTTTTGGTATTTCTTGCACCTTTTGGTGAAGAATCAATGCAGCATTGTATAGAATTTGTAACTCATTGACTTTAGAATTTCCCTCAGTTTCTGTGTTGGAATTCACATTATCATCATCAATGGTACAGCTCTCTTCATCAAAGTCCTCGTCATTGTTTTCAGACTGAGGGCCTGTTTATATGGAAGCCGGGCTGGCCTGATAAGAAAGACAGCCCGGTAAGCAAGATCTCGCTGTGTAGTTATTCTTATAGTAAAAATTATCATGCGTTTATATGGACAAGCGGGCTGGCCCAGTTGCCGAGATCTCGTTTGAAAGAGGCTACTCAGGCTAGATCTCGCTTACCGGGATGGAAATTTCTCCATATAAACATTTACAAGCGGGCTATCCCGGTTGCTGGGATGAAAGTTCAAAAATACCGCCGCAAGCTATTTTTAACAACTGTCAAAACAATACAATGTAACAAAATTGTCCTGGCAAGCTGGATGAAAGTTTCTCATATAAACACAAGAGAAATTCATCCCGCTTACCGGGCTGCCTCGCTAAGTGGGCCAGCCCGGCTTCCACATAAACAGGCCCTTAATTGACATATGTTCCTCAACCAATTCAGAAGAATCCAAATTTTCCACATATACAATCACACTAACATTTCTCATTTTCGGTACACAGAACACAAGTTGGGGATAACTTTTCATCAGTCATTGCTTGAGTTTAAAAGCTCTATATCTAGATGCATCCACATTCTCAGTGTCCTTAGCAATGATAACAAATTTTTCCAGCAAATCTTTCATATACTTTATTTGCTTATTTCTGATGACCCATCTCAATTACTTTCTTACAGAATACATCATAAGACTTCTCGTACAGTGATACTCTCGTTGCTTCTTCGTCTCTCTGGTAAGAAATATTGTATAATTGCAGTAGCAAACTTTGTGATAGCAGATTTCCAGAGCTACACAGTCTTTCCCCTGGATTTGCATGAGTATCTGTTGATCGTTCTTTCTCTCAGCAGCTGTACGTAGAAGACCAGCATCAATTGTTTCTGCCAACATGAGTGGGGTTCTTCTTCTCTTCTTAGTTACCTGGTGTGAAACAAAATAAATTATTAAACTAAATATCTGCTAATAACAAGGTTGGATGTTTGTAGCATAGAAACTACTTTACCCTAAATAAACTAAATTGATCACAATTCAATATATTTTAAAACCAAACCTGAGAATGTTGTGCACATTGCGCTAGTATTATACCTATCAAAATACCATACCTTGTCTAGTGAGAACCATGAGGCGTCTCTTCCACAAATAATACATATCTCTGGGAGTACATGCGCGTTTCTTTTAGGCAGGGCCTTTATATTTATAGCTTCTGCGACTGATTGACGTGTATTAATTTTTCGCCTTGGTTCTATTGCCTCCACTTCCACGTGTGATTCTTCGGTAGAAGTTATAGTTTTAGAGCTAGTTCCTTCTCCTTTTTCTTCTTTTCTCTGTTATCTACGGATCTTCTCTTCATCACAAAATCTCTTCCAGCATTTCATATGATGGTTCCATTCTAAGTTAATGGTGTCAGAGTTCTAAGTTCTCGATGTATGAATTGACAGATCCGTCATCGATGTTCTCGTACGATTTCTTAGCTATTTCAGCTTGTTGACATTTAAGTTTGGCCCATTTTGACCTACACTCAAGAAATTGCTTAAGCCTTTGGCGTGTAACTTTGCAAAGTTGCTCCGTAACGCCATCAAAATGCATAAAACATGAGGATATTCTAGTTTTATAAATATCTTCAGCCATGCTTATTTGCACAACTGAGCGTGTTTCCACTTCGAAGCATGTGCGTTGGTTGTGCGCGTGCGCAATGCGAGTTTGGCTGAGTTGCGCATGCGTATTTGCTATCAAAACAATGGCGGTTCGAATATTTCGAAGCGCGAAAATATCAAACTTTGGAGGGATTTTTCTCCCAATTGTGCACCTGTTTCGCTTGGGGAGCAACGGATTCTGATAAAGTAAGTTTTTATCTATTTATTCATGTGAAAATTACGTAGTTCCACGAGGGGTGCAACGGAATCCGTTTTCTAAGCATCTTTTGGATGCTCATCCCACGGCCTAAAGGCGTTGATATTCGCAGGCAATTCCATATATTTATTTAACTATTCTGATTGATAGGATCTAAGGTAGTACGAATATGAGGTGATGACATGCCCCTGTCGCCCTTGTTATGTGTAAACAAATATATTGCGAAATTCGTTTGGAAAACTTTTACGGACGCCATATTTCTCTGTTGCTTTAAACACACAACTCTATGGAGGATTTGAAGCGTATCGTAGTACAGACTTTATCCAGATCGATCATATATATACCCTCAGTCAAAAAAACAAAATACATTATTAATTGACTCTTTCTTGATATAAAAGACGTTCTTCTGGGAACTAATTTCCATATTTTCAAAAAAGAAATTCTTGTTTACATAAGGTACCCAATTGCAAGCCAGTATTAATATGAGGTGATGACCACCCATCGCGGTACATTAAATATCCTGTCAAAACAAATACCAGTCTGCAAAAGACGCTTGTACTTTTACGGAAGCGATATTTGTCTGTTGCTCTAATGACATAATTTTGTGAATAATTTAAACCAAATTTTAATACAGACTTTATCCACATCGATCATAATAAGATTTGCTCAGTCTATACACATTAAGATTGATATTTCTTGATATAGAAGATCATTTTCAGGGAACTGATTTTCATATTTTCATCACCTGATATTAATACTGGCTTACAATTGGCTAATTGGCTAATATTAATATCAGGTGATGACCTTTGGTCTCAAGATATTAAATATTCTATTTCATGCCAGCAAATTCCTGTCTAGTAAAGACGCTTTAAACACTTTATGCGGAAGCGATATTTATCTGCTGCTCTAAACAGATCATTTTGTCAAAGATTTCAAGCAAATACTAAAACAGACTTTCTGCAAGAACGAACACTGTATCTATATTCAGTCTATATAGCGAGGTTTATACTACAGAGCGACTAACATCAACACAGAACTTGCTTTGTTATTACGAAACAAGAACGGCGTGAAATATATGGCGTCTTTTATACAAGGTTATGATGAGGAAAGGTTTGCGACAACAGTCAATCGAAATTTCCTCTGTTTGATTTGCTTCAATGTCCTTAAAGACCCGGTTCTGTGTTCAAGAAACCAACATTGTTTCTGCCGTTCTTGTATTACGAAACATCTCGAGAATTCTCGAAGATGCCCTACGTGTTCGGACGACCTGACCGTAGAGACTTTGGCCGAACCCAACAGAATGGTGAAAGATTATTTAAATGAATTGAAGATTCATTGCGTTTACAACAACAGAGGTTGTCAAGAAATTGTACAACTGGAACATCTTGACAACCATGAGGCTACATGTGGATTTACACCAGCCGTTTGTACAAACCAAGGCTGTGGTGCAACTTTAAACCAGCGTGATCTTATTCACCATCAAAGTGAACTATGTGAATTTCGCAAGTTGAAGTGCCACTCGTGCGGAGAAATGACAAAAACGTTGGCAGATATGGAGAAAATAATGGTGGCAACAAATTTAACAATGGAAACGAAAATAGCGAATGTCGAGAAAAAAGTTGAGAGAAATGCGGCAGATATCAAAACAGATATGGAAGGAAAACTCGAAGCAGTGAATAATGAAGTGAGAGGATTGAAAAGAGCTTTGATTGAAGGTTTTGATGAAGTGAAGGATGTTCTTGTTAAGATGGAGGACAAGATAGAAGAAAAGACAAGGAAAGTAAGAAATACAGCAAGTGGTGATAAGGAAAATATAATTGTTGCTGGAGGTTATAGAACTGACTCTGTAGAGATGTTTAACTGGCGTCAAAGAACATGGTCGCCATTACAATCCTTGCCAAAGAAGTGTTGGGGAGCAACTTCATTTGTGTACAACAATCACGTGACAATTGCTGGAGGTGTTTGTTCTGACTACCTCGATGATATGATTGGAATGAATATCAACCCAAACTCTGATCTCTCAATGCACTGGAGTGAGTGTCCTGTTAAACTACCTGCTAAGTTGGCACACCACAGCAGTGTGCTGTATAATGATCACTTGATAGTCACTGGTGGTTATAATGGAAATGCAGTATCTGACTGTATTCATGTAGTCCAGCTAGTGCCTCCTTATACTGTGAAGACCTTAGGCTTATCAAGAATGCCAGAACCAAGACAATATCACAGCACGCAATTATTTGATGATAACTTGTTGGTCGTTGGTGGAAGAACAACTGAGAGTTGCCAAGACAACCTCAGCAGTGTCGTACTGTATGATATAAAGAAGAATGAATGTAAACAGTTGGCACCACTGCCGTATGAAGTGAGTAAGATGGCAACTGTGAGATGGGGAGACAACATCGTTGTTATAGGTGGCATTGACAAACGTGGCAACGCATTAGATACAGTTATCATTTACAATGTCAAGACTGAACAAAGTCACTTGCTGCCGTCAATGAAATGTAAGAGGTACGGATGTACTGCAGTTGTTATTGGAAACAACATTGTAGTATTGGGAGGGTTGCGAGAAAAGTCAGATGAAGCTTTCAACTTTGAAAGTTATTCTTGGCAAGAACTACCAGAAATGTCTCAAGCAAGATGGTTTCCCACTGCTGTTGTTGTGTGAACAATGTAAGAATATTGAACGGATTTCTTTAAGATAATAATCGAACAAATAAAGTAGAAATGTAGTAATACGTTATGATAGTTTGGTATGTGTAACCAAAATTATATTCAGTTTTTTAACGATGCATATGGTTATTAATTGATTCTTTCTTTGTATAAAAGACGTTGTTCTGGGAACTAATTTCCATGTTTTGAAAAAAGAAATTCTTTTTACATAAGGTAACTAATTGCAAGCCAGTATTAATATGAAGTGATGATCACCCATCGCGGTACATTAAGTACTGTTTAATAAACGAGCAGGAGTGTTTTATTAGGTTTAAAGCCACGAGCGCGCAGCGCGAGTGGCTTTAGACCTAATAAAACACGACCTGCGAGTTTATTAAACGGCTTCAAACACGACTACAAATTCAATAGATATACTGCCTTATTAGTATTCTTTGTATAAAAAATACTAATGAGGACACGATTACAATAGATACTGCCTTATTAGTATTCTTTATCTAAAGAATACTAATTAGGAGTGTTTTATCAGGTTTAAAGCCACTGCACGTGACATATTATGGTTGACATGATTTGCCAATAAGCGTATGAATTATTAATGATGTTTGAAATATTCTATCTTGTATAAACAAATACCAGTCTGCAAAAGACGCTTGAAATACTTTTACGGAAGCGATATTGGTCTGTGTTGCACTAAAGACGTAATTTTGTGAATAATTTGAAGCAAATTGTAATACAGACTTTATCCACATCGATCAAGATAACATTAGCTCAGTCTATATACTTTATTAAGATCGACTTTTCTTGATATAAAAGATCATTTTCAGGGGCCGGTTGTATAAAACACTTAATCACTTTTTAATCACTATTTTGTAGTTAAATAGTGATTAACTCTCAAATACGCGCTTCTTATTGGATGACGTTTCCACTAACTACAGTTAACTTTAATCACTTTTTTATACAACCGGCCCCAGGGAATTAAAAATTTCAAGCAAATACTAACACAGACTTTCTTGAAGAACGAACACTGTATCTATATTCAGTCTATATAGCGAGGTTTATACTACAGAGCGACTAACATCACAGAACTTGCTTTGTGATTACGAAACAAAAGCGGCGTGAAATATATGGCGTCGTATATACAAGGCTATGATGAGGAAAGGTTTGTGAGCACAGTCAATCGAAATTTCCTCTGTTTGATTTGCTTCAATGTCCTTAAAGACCCGGTTCTGTGTCCGAGAAATCAACATTGTTTCTGCCGTTTTTGTATTACGAAACACCTCGAGAATTCACGAAGATGCCCTACGTGTGCGGACGAACTGACCGTAGAGGCTCTAGCTGAACCCAACAGAATGGTGAAAGATTATTTAAATGAATTGAATATTCATTGCGTTTACAACAACAGAGGTTGCCACGAGATTCTAGAACTGCAACATATTGACAGCCATGAGGCTACATGCGGATTTACACCAGCCGTTTGTACAAACCAGGGCTGTGGTGCAACTTTAAACCAGCGTGATCTTATTCATCATCAAAGTGAACTATGTGAATTTCGCAAGTTGAAGTGCCACTCGTGCGGAGAAACGACGAAAACGTTGGCAGATATGGAGAAAAGAATGGTGTCGACAAATTTAACAATGGAAACGAAAGTAGCGAATCTCGAGAAGAATATGGAGAGAAATGCGGCAGATATGGAAGGAAAACTCGAAGCAGTAAATAATGAAGTGAAAGGATTGAAAAGAGCTTTGATTGAAGGTTTTGATGAAATGAAGGATGTTCTTATGAAGATGGAGGACAAGACAGGAAAAGTAAGAAATACAGAAAGTGGTGATAAGGAAAATATAATTGTTACTGGAGGTTCAGGAACTAACTCTGTAGAGATGTTTAACTGGCGTCAAAGAACATGGTCGCCATTACAATCCTTACCAAAGGAGCGTTGGGGAGCAACTTCATTTGTTTGCAACAATCATGTGACAATCGCTGGAGGTTCCTGTTCTGGCTGTGTTGATGACATGATTAGAATGAAGATCAACCCAAACCCTGATCTCTCAGTGCCCGGGAGTGAGTGTCCTGTTAAACTACCTGCTAAGTTGGTATACCACAGCAGTGTGCTGCATAATAATCACTTGATAGTCACAGGTGGCAAAAATAGAAATGCAGTATCTGACTGTATTCACGAAGTCCAGCTGGTTCCTCCGTATACTGTGAAGATCTTATCAAGAATGCCAGAACCAAGACAATATCACAGTTCGCAATTATTTGATGATAACTTGTTGATCGTTGGTGGAAGTACAACTGACAGATACCAAGACAACCTGAGCAGTGTCGTACTGTATGATATAAAGAAGAATGAATGTAAACAGTTGGCACCACTGCCGTATGAAGTGAGTGTGATGGCAACTGTGAGATGGGGAGACAACATCGTTGTTATAGGCGGCGTTGACAAACGTGGTAATGAATTAGATACAGTGATAATTTACAATGTCAAGACTGAACAAAGTCGCTTGCTGCCGTCAATGAGATGTAAGAGACAGGGATGTACTGCAGTTGTTATTGGAAACAACATTGTAGTACTGGGAGGGATGGCGGAGCAATTCGAGGAGCAATTAAGTTATCTAAAGTCGGTTGAAGTTTTCAACTTTGAAAGTTATTCTTGGCAAGAACTACCTGAAATGTCTCCAGCAAGATGGTTTCCCACTGCTGTTGTTGTGTGAACAATGTAAGAATGTTGAACGGATTTTTTTAAGATAATAAGTTGACTTTAATCATATTGTGAACAACTAAAGTAGAAATGTAGTAATACGTTATGATAGTTTGGTATATGTAATCAAAATTATATTCAGTTTTTTTAATTTAATTAGCGCCTTCCATTAAGTGCCGCATGTAAGATCAGAAATCGGCTTTGCGTTGTCATTAAGCTAATATTGTGCATCGCTGATGTAATACCTGTATGTAATTTAACCACAAAATGAAGTCACAGAAGTGAAGGTCACCGTGTTTTTCCACTTTAATCTGTATATAATATCGTCGGCCTCTTAGGTAACTGCCCAACTCATTTTTGGGTCAAAATGCATTTTTTTCCTAAGTCATTCTGTAATCAGTTGTTGCTTATCTCGTTAACCAATCAGAAAGCTTCTTATATGCCGTAAACAACATTTGCTCACGCCGCAAGCACGTTTTCGTTTGCACAGCGACTTGGGGGGGGGGGGGGGGGGGGGGGGTGTAACCCACCCACCAAACGGTGAAACTTGGGTACAAGTCAGGTAAAATCAAGTTATCAAAATTGGCAAAAGAAAATTTCGACATTTTCAGGTAAAATTTGCGTAATAAAGTAATTATTTTTGTGAAATGATAATCATTTTTGTAAAATACAGTCAATTTACATCCAATTCGTTTGCGAATTTGCTTTAGAAAACGCCAGAAATGCAGTCCTGGAGCTTCAAAAATGTAAAGGAGGACCCCCCAGACCCCCGCCCTTTTCTTCGGAAACTTAGTATGACAGTGGAAATCAATTAGAAAAAGCTCTATTATAGTTATTGCACGCGTGAGGTAAATTTTTAACATTGAAGTTCACGTTTCTGGTGAAATCCTCCGACACCTCACCCCCTCCCCCTAACTTCAGATGTTTCGCTACGTCCCTGACTATACGTTATCAATTATTAACTCCTCTTGGGGAAAACGCCTAAATATGTTTAAAGTACGACTAACCCCAAATATAATTTTTGGTATGTGTAATATTTGGGTCATTCTGAGAAGAAATGTAATGTATCTTTATAGTAAAAAATCCCATCTTGATCAACTTTTTCACGGTCAAAGTTCCAGCTTCCAGATTGCAAAACTAATTTGCAATTCTCCTAATGACATCATATCCGGAAACTTTGACAGCAAAAAATGTTGATCAAGATGGGATATTTTATTATAAAGATATATTACATTTGTTCTTCGAATGACCCAAATATTACAAATACTAAAAATCATATTAGGGGTTAGTCGCACTTTAAATACAAAAATTTAAAATCTTTGCTAACTCGGACAAATTGTCGCTTCCCTTGGGAAGCAGCTGGCGAGATTCCGCTGTATTTTACATCTTACGTTATTATCTTTTTTTCACAGCTTGCCTGGGCACCAGCTAAAGGAGCTAAAGAACACAAGGAACATTTTGATAAAGAACTTGGCGTTACATATATACCTGTAGCTAAACTACAAGATTCGGAGGATACTATCGCATCACTGGCTGAGGGTGGCTGGATTGACCCTAGAACAGTACCTGAAACCTTAATCAAAAGTAAGTATATACGCTTAGCCATTATCCCAAAGTCCTGAGTCTAGTCGCGCAAATCCCATGTTGGAGGGACAAGAAATATGGCAGCACACATTTTAAAAAAGAAATTTAATGTAACAAGGAGATATTTAATTTTTGGTCTTCTAAAAAGTTGATATTTGATAGTAGATACTTCTACCCTTTCACATATTTGACGTCTGTCACCATATATTTTGTCCCTGCAAACGATCCCAGAATGCACTGTGATCTCTTTTGGGTAAAGGCTATCGGGTATACAAAGGCTGGATAGCGCTATCCTCTGTGTCCAGTGATTTTTTCAACCTTCGTGAAAACAGACCTTAAAATATCGGTCGATCACGGACATTGTCCGACCCATTCGTGAAATTGTCCGGCGTAGAGAGGAAACCACCGGACATTCTGTCCGACCTAAGTGAACCTGAGGTTTATTGTTTGTCCGATCTGAGTATATTGGTTTCCGACGGAACTGTAGCTTTGTAAGATCAAAATGTACCCTAGGCCAGGACTAGAGGCTCGTATGTTAAATGGAGAATCAGAGTGATGTATAAAAAGTGAACCGGAAATGTTTTAATGTAATGAGCGCGGGACAGCGAACGAAATGGTGAAGTGGAAAACGGGCTTAAGTTGTCGAAGTCTTACTGCTGTTATTCGCAAGCAAGTTAATTTTGGCTTGGAAATAAGTATGAATGACACAAATTATTTAATATCTTCACAACATTTAGTCCAGAATGAATACATTGTGCTGATATTTATTTGTGTCATTCAGACTTATTTCCGAGCCAAACTGAACTGAAGGTCATCGGACATCATCATTCATAGGTCCGACCCAAACTCAAGAGATATTTTAAGGCCTGTGAAATGCAGAAAAACAATTAACAAAAAGAAACTTTAATCCCCCTCCTCGACACCCACCTCCTCTCAAGAAATCTAATGGTCTACCTCTTAACTAAGTTAATTTGTATTAGTTAATTTTCACATTAAGCTTGAATGGTATGGAAATATTTTCAACTAATTTTATTTATTCTTATTTTTCAGAGGAAGAAGCTGCCGCAGCCTTGAATGCTGCTAATGCCACTGGACAACCTCCGGGTATATTGGGAATGCCAATGGGGCCGCCCCCTTTCACCGGCATGCAGCCAGGCCCGGGTGTGCCTCCAGGAATACCCCGCTTGCCCTTTGGCATCCCGGGCTTACCTTTGCCCGGTATGATTCCGCCTGGCATGAACCTACCAGGGTTACCTGGTATGCAGTTTCAACCAGGTATGGGTAACATGCCGTTCCAAAGACTTGCAATGAACAATCGAATGCCGTTTATACCAGGGGTCAACCCGTTTATGATGGCAGGGTTAATGCCAAGAATGCAGCAGGGTGGGCCCATGCCAGGCATGCCACCATTCTTTAGGGGTCCACCACCTATGGGTGGACCACCTTCCGCAAATGCCCCTGCCGAAGCTGGTCAACCCCAGGATGGTAACCAAGGCGAAGTAGCTGGCCAACCAAATGAAGGGAATCAAGAAGGGGCTCCTGAATCAAATGTGCCGCCGCATGGTGAGAACATTCCGGCCGCCCAAGGTCCAACCGAGCCTGGGTTTCAAGGTCCACCCCCTGACCAAGTCGGTCCCGAAGGTCAGAATGTCCCCCAAAATGGTCAAGAAGCACAAGGTCACGAACAGTTTGGTGGGCCCAATATGGGTCCCGGAGGAGGACCCCCATTCCAAGGTGGACCTCCATTTCATGGTGGTCCAGGCGGCCAAAATCATGGTGGTCCAGGCGGCCCACCATTCCAGCCACCATTCGGACAACAAGGTCAACCTCCTTTCCACGGTGAGCCGCGATTTCAAGGGCCACCTCCATTCCGTGAGCAAGGTGGACCACCCGACCCTTGGAGGCAAGGTGGTCCTGATAACCAATGGAGACCAGAGGGCAGACCCTGGGAAGGACCACCCAATGAGAACTGGGGCAATGAAGGGGAACATTGGGGTTCTGAGGATGAACAGTGGCGGAACGAAGAAAGGCCTTGGGGTCGTGGAAATGATCGCAGAGGCCGTCGTGACCGACATGGCCAAGATGAATGGGGTCATGAAGACCAGTTTGATCGCCGCAAGCGTGGACGGTTCGATAACGATTGGGGACCACCCCACGATAGACACCAAGGACCACACCACGACAGACATCAAGGGCCACACCACGACCGGCATCAAGGGCCACACCACGATCAGGGACCACCATTCGACCACCGTGGGCGACCGCCGTTTGGTCGAGATCATCCACCAAGATTCGGTCCACCCGGACGAGGTCCGCCTTTCCCAAGGGACGGACCACCACAATTCGATGACAGACCACCGTTTGACGATAGACCACCATGGATGCGTGAGGAGCAGAGAGGTAGGTGGGGTGAGGAGGAGGGACCATTTAGAGGCGACCCCATGGAACAGCAACCCGGGTTTGAAATGGAACAACAAGCTGGTGATCAGGATCCAAATGCGCCATGGGGTGGTCGTCATGGTGACGGCCCCCGCGGTGATCGTCCGCGTGGTGATCGTCCACGCGACATACCATCGCTTATGGGTAACCAATTTAAGCCTCCACCACAAGCACCGGGTGAGGACACTGCTGTACCACAGGATGCTGCTGTACCCCAGGATGCTGGTGTACCCCAGGATGCTGCCCCGCAAGGGGATGTTGCCAAGGGTTGGGCTGAAATAAAAGAACTTAAAGCAAGATTAGCGATGAATAAGAATCAAGGATCTGCGCCTGAGAACAATGCAACGCCTGTGGGAGGAAGACAAGCCGAAGGTGGTGTTTTGAATGAGCAAAGTAATATTCCTAAGATTAAACAAGAGAGAGACGACACTGCAGCGCCTGTCGAAGGGGGGCTAGCTCATGGTGGCGTTACCAACGAGCAGATTAACGTTGTTAAGATTAAACAGGAGGTAGTAGACGACACAGTTGCTCCTGCGGTAGGGGTTGCTGATGGTAGTATTCAGGGCAATCAGGGTAATGTTCTCCAAAGTCAACCAGTGGTGAAGATTGAACAGCCGGAACATGGTGATCAAGCAGAACATTTTGGCGAGCAGATGGGAGGATCTGGTGAATTGAAAGTTGATGATCCAGTTCCAAATTTAAAAAAAGAAGGCGAATCAATGACTGCGGATACAGTTGTTGACAAGTCCAACCAAGAAAGATCTGAGGCTGCCCCAAGTCAAGGTGAACCGACGACATCAGATACAGTTCTAGACAACCTCAATGAAGAAAGGTGTGTGGTTACACCTCAATCTGCCGTAATCTCAGAAGAGAGAATGGAAGTTGATGTCGGAAATGAGCCAGAACCGGCAGTTGAAAGTAATGTACCCGAGCGGATGAGATCCGAAGGGAACAAGATTGGATCCGAGGAGGTGAAAGTAGGATCAAATGAGATCAAGATGGGAACAGCAGAGGTGAACATTGGATTGGACGTGGGATCGGAACAGGTAAAGATGGGATCGGATGAGGTCAAGATGGGATCAGAAGAGGTCCAGGTGGCGTTCGGTGAGGTTAGGAAGGAATCGGAAGAGGTGAATATAGGGTCAGAAGAGGTTAAGATGGGATCGAGCGAGATCAAAGTGGGATCAGATGAGGTCAACATGGGATCAGAAATCAGGTCGGATCAGATCAACGTCGGATCAATGGAGACAATGAAACCTGCGCGTGGAGAAGTAAGAGATATGCCTGCTGAAAACATATTTCCAGGAAACAACATGGACGAAACGTCAACACCGGTCGAAAGCATCATTAAAGAAAGCGAAGCAATCGAGAAACCAGCTGAACCGATAGAACATAATCAAGTTTCCGAGCAGATCGAAGGTAGTTCTATGGAAGAGGGGGTTTCCGGTGTAGATAAAAAGAATCATTCTGAACAGCCGCAAGCGAGAGTTGAGCCCGAAATCGAAGTACAGCAAGCGACCGACACCAGCTCGGAAGCAAACCCTGAAATTGGCGAGGTTGTACCCGATCCTGATACCAAACCCCAAGAGGTAACTAGTGATGTGTAGGAACTTATGCCATTATTTTGATATCCTTTTGGACTAAACTGAATTAGTCTTTCGACTACGTCTGGTAAAGGCTAGTCTTACTATAAACCCTTGACACTTTTGTGTGTTCAGATGAGACATAAATTACTTAGGTTGTAAATAGATATAAGTGCCGATTTTTTACAACTATAGGTTTCGAATAGAATAAGCTCGGAACTGTGTTCCAGACATTTTTATACCCACTCGTGCGAGAAAGCTGTGCTAAGCGCGTGCTGGACAAATTCGAGGACATAATGACATTGACATACATGTATGATTCTTATATGCTATGACAGAAAATTTTAACAGTAAACATTGAGTTTTCTTGCAACGAAAATTTGCATTGAAACTACATATGTTCGAAGAGAAATAATTGAAATCTTCGTAACGTGTATTGTTTCCTAAATCAACCATTCATTTTTTTCCCGAAAATAATCTGCTATGGTTTGGAAGAATTTAAAAACACAGCATTTTGAATGCTCGGAGTTTCGTTTTTGATCTTTTTTTGAGTAATTCAGACACAATATGAATAATCCCCACGCGTGTGGTATATGCAAGAATATGACTTCGTTTAATTGTCGAAATACGAATTTAAAATGGCGCAGATTTTTTTAGTTTTCAATGAAATTTTCGTTGTATAAGAATTCTAAATTATTCAATCTAACACACGCATACGTGCTACTGTTGAATTAGTAAGTTAATAAATTATCAGTGCTTACGTGAAATCAGTTTATCGAATGCTCAGTAAGAAATTTATGTAGAACTAACAACAGAACGTATATAATTTGGGCAGAAAATAGTCGAGCTAGTTCAGTTTGGTATCTGTGAGGGTGTGATTTGGAAAGAGAGTATGTGTGGTCATAGAAACGAACGTAGATTGTGGTATTTTACATAATTTCCAACCGTCTTTGTGTGCATTTATAAGCTCTTAGTTTTCCAGGTAAGTTTTGGCATTTCAAGGTAATGCGGTTAAACGAACATGCGACCTTTTTGGAATTTTTTTGTCTCCAATTGACGGCTACAGTAACCTTCTAGAAAGTAAGATTTGCGGTAAAACAGGGATTTTATTGTTTTTAAATTATTGCCAAAGTAACTTTTTCCTAACTACTCTGGCACCCGCAAAGTTTTGCATAAAGCAAAAACAGCGACAACTTTGAATTAGCCCAACATTTTTGGTTTATTGTATGACGTTTTAGCCACGAGGAAAGCTTTCGGCAAACAAACGATTAATGTATTGACGAGCCAATTTCAATTCGTGCTTTGTTTTATAGTACTAAAAGAACTTAATGATCAAGTAATTCTTGTCTCGTAGCGCGGATTATTCCAAAGTGCAGCTCAATTATGGCTGGATATACAATGTCTTCTTGTTTGCCCTGAGCTTTATTTGTTTGTGACAAACATATAACGTCATACCATTGAAATTTTACATCTGGCTGTATAAAAATTTCTCTCCTACAGCGATTTTACAGATTTATCCCAGTCCCCGTGTTAAACACAGAGTCAATAGACAATTCCCATTATTAAACTAATTTTAAAACTAGGCAAAGAGATGCAAATAGATCACCACAGCTAGAAAGAGCATACTAAAATGCGGAAAATATAGCCTAGCAAAGTTTGCAAATTTTGTATACTTTTGTATCGCGTGCGGAAATTGCAAATTTTATCGGGAACGCTGGAATACATATAGGTAATAATTGGGCAAAAACATGAAGTTGCAAAGTGGCACCTACGATAAAAATATATATCGTGTACCTTCACACCACCCATAAGCTAACAAAGTGTATTCCCTCCAAACTTTTAATCTTTTTTAGGCTTCAATGGCAATTTTTTTTAGGCTTCAATGGCACTTCATCGAGTTCCTAACCTTGTTTATATTATACCCAAAGATAATGCATTATGCAGCCTTTTAAGCATTGTGGAATCCAGTAGAATAGGAAGAGTGTTTAGGATCTAGGAAAAGCGTACAAAATTGATGGACATTGGATTGAGGTACTTTTTAGTGATTGCTTTGCAAAGAGGGGACGGATAAAATTCATTCTAGCTGGTGGAAGTGACTCATGAAATTGCTAATGGTGGACGGTATGTTCCTTTTTGTAGCACGATTCACGTAACGTAAATATTTTTTCTTCGAAGAAGTTCACAAGCTGTCGAAAAGTCGTGTTCGCATTGCTTGTTCCCAGTTGTTGTAACAAGTTTGGAACAAGCTGTTCACAACTTGTAACAAGCTTGATGGCATTATCAGACTTGTTACAAGGTTCGTCCAAGAAGTCTGATACAGTCGTGATATAACAAGAATGTTACAAGGTTGATGACACAAGGAATACAATATTGTTATATCATGACTGTATCGGACTTGTTGGAACAACCTTGCAACAAGTCTGATAATATCAGATTTGTTGATTTGTTGCAAGGTTGTTCCAGACAAGTCTGATACAGTCATGATATAAAAAAATGGTTACAAAGTTGATGACACAAGGTTGTAACAATATTGTTATATCATGACTGTATCGGACCTGTTGGAACAACCTTGCAACAAATCTGATAATATCGACAAGGTTGTTGCAAGTTGTTAATAGCTTGTTCTAAACTTGCTGCAACAACTAGGAACAAGCAGTGCGAACACAACTTGTTGACGGCTTGTTTTTGTGAGATTTTTACGCGCGTATCCCAATACCATTCACTGTTTGATGTTCCAGCATTTCAAAAACTTCCCCGTGTTGCATGTATTTGATGGTGAGATATTGATCCCATTTGTGCAAACGTTTCCTAATTTGTACTGTAAGAGTGGTCTGCCAACAAACCGTCAACAAGTTGTCTTCGCTCTGCTTGTCCCAAGTAGTCAACAAGTTTGGAACAAGCTGTTCACACTTTGTATTAACCTTGTTGATATTATCAGACTTGTTACAAGGTTGTTCCAACAAGTCCGATGCAGTCATGATATAACAGTATTGTTACAACCTTGTGCCGTCAACCTTGTAACATTCTTGTTTATATCATGACTGTATCAACTTGTTTAAAGAACAACCTTGTTACAAGTCTGATAATGCCAACAGGCTTGTTACAAGTTCTTAACAGCTTGTTTCAAACTTGTTACAACAACTGGGAACAAGCAGTGCGAACACAACTTGTACACAACTTGTGAACAGATTTGTAACAACTTGTTTGCAGACTTGTAACACGTGCCTCCCAGCGTAATGGCACATTCAATTCATTTAAAAGCCCCAATAACGGAAAGTTGCTGTAGCACGTTCGAAAGTGGACGGTAAGGCATAACCTATCGAAGGGAAGATGGCTGTGAAACTCGTTAGAATAACAATTTAACTCATCTATGTTAGTCAACGTGTACCCTTAAATACGATCCTGTTTCACCGTCACGTGTGGTATTGTATTTTGCCCAACTAACCAATAGCAATGTTTTAGGAAAGTTACCTATCCGTGACTCGAACCATAGGGTAAATTGGAAATTTCTTATTGGTGGATTTGGCAAAAATACAATACACACGTGACGGTGAAGGCCAGATTTATGAATAACATAGATAACGAGTTATATTGTTATTCTATTGAGTTTCACAGCCATCTTCCCTTCGATAGGCTATGGATAGGGGTATCCCAAAATAAAGCCCCGCATAAAAGAACCAGTGAATTTTGACTTTAGGCTGAAGTGTTTCCTATATAACTGGTTCTTATCTGGCTCTTATTTCCAGTCAAAAACAATTGCTCCTGGTTTAGAGTTTTAAACCTTTTATTGTATAACATGAAACTAGTTTTGATCAAATAAATACATGCTTGCATGATGTGCATTACAGTATTTTCATTTCTTAGTACCTGCTTATTAATTCGGCTCAAAGTTTAATAAGGTTTTTTAAGAACCAATTTCATTTGTCAGCCTGAAGTTGTGCTTGTATTTTGAGTGCTTAATTTCCCAAATTTCAGGCTGGTTCTTAACCCACTGGTTATTTTAAAGCTTGGTTTCCATATGGTCGTAAAGTTTGAGTCACGATCTTTCGCATCGGCCGAAATACAACATTCTATAGAACTGAAAATACGCGGAGTGATTATAACTAGAGAATACTCATGATTTATATGTGGTTTACAGGGATAAACTATTATAAACTGGCCGTTGAGAAAGATCGTGACTCTATTTTTACGAAAATATGGAAAGCAGGCTTAATACGAGGCTTTGCTTTGCCAGAGTTTTACACCGTTACAATCCTAGGCAGCCCCATGGACGACACTGTATTAAAAACATTCTGTGGCTTTTTACTATTAGACCGGAGTAATTTACCCCAAAAAAACCAACAAAAAAACAATGTTGGACGTATTACAATTAACCGTATTCTGGGAATGCAATCAACATTGAATGGCGGAGGGAGTTTTTTACACAGTGCAATAGGTGTGTCGTGTATCCATTTTTAACGAAAACATTTTCATTATAAACCGATTTTCTCAATGATACTGCGTAATGTAAATTCTTTACTCCACTTGAGAAAAGTGTCGTGTTTTCGTGTCAAAACCTGTAGGAATGCGACTGTATCTGTTGTTGCTGAAATGTCAAATTATTAGCCAGTTTAATGGGAAAAAAGAATTCAGAATAAAAATAGATTGAGGGAAAGAGAGAATGTAATGAAACAAAGAACGGAGAAAGAAAGAAAGAAAGAAAGAAAGACATTGAAATAGAAAGTAGAAAAAAACAAATAATTTAACGTAGAGCAGTATCGATACATCTCCGCAGCCACTAAAGACTGATTTGCATACATCACGTAAAGTACAAGATAGATCCGCAGTATTACATTGATGACAACATTTTGATCACGTCATCTGTGGTATATGATTTTTTAAACCTGTGATACATCGCATACGATAAACGAGATATGACGTAATACAACACTCCTATATTGTTTTGTAGACCATTCAGGAAGTTGAATGAGAGTATAAAACTCTTCTAAGATAGATTAAGGGCATTACTCGAATATTCCTTTGTGGTTGTTGCTAATTGAACTTTGCGAAGTCCGATCATGAAGACTTAATTTGAGCGGTGTAAACGTTTTCATAAGACACGATCTGAATTCAATGGTCTTTGTTATTGCAGAAATATTTTCCACTATTTTTCAGTTAAATAGTAGTTGACTCTAAAATACGAGATTTTGGTTGACTTTTCACTTTTGTACTAAGTGCAGGTAAATTTAACTACCTTTTTGTACAACCGGTCGTAGCAGTCCTGCTTGATAGCAATGCGCGCACAGCACAGCCTTCTCCCATGATGAGCGAAATTGGCAACTGGAAAAAACTTTACATTCACTATATATTCACGTGATTAGTACGCTTTTCAGAACTGGAAAAGTGAGATTTTCTGGATCTTGAGGAACGTTTACTTTAACAAGAGAAATGTTCAACTTTCTCGCATACTTTATGGGGAAATTATATGAACAGTAAATTCTTTTGTACCGTCCACACGTAAAAACACATAAGTTGTAACAAACCTGCAGCAGACTTATAGCAATGTTGTTGCAACAACTTGTTGTTAACAGGATGTGTCCACTTCGCTTGTTCCCAGCTTGTTGACAACTTATTACAAGGTTGTTGACAACTTGTTACAAGGTTGTTGACAACTTGTTACAAGGTTGTTGAGCTCAACAGACTTGTTGGAATTCAACAATTTGTCAACAAGTGAGTGACAACCTTGTAGCAACGACTTGATAAAATAACAGCATTGTTACAACTTGTTGACAAGCTTGCTATACAAGGCTATTGCGAACACATCTTGTTGTCAACAAGTTGCGAGAATTTTACGTGTATATTATATGTCACTCACAACTACATCCAATTTTTTATCCAATCATACTTGCGCACATAATGTACGGTCAAAATTTCATTGTTTCAAGAAGAACAACTGTTGAGGATCCCAAGAATATTAAACACTTTTCCAGTTCCCATTGCATTTGGAAACATTAAATTTTTATGCGTCATAAAATTTGGCATATGTATTACATATACCTTATATTGGTAAATGTTTATTCTAGAATGTAACTTTATGTAATTAATTTATATATCTTACTTGTATTTAACTTCCCGTGCGGTATTAATTCGCGCAGACCATATAGGTGCATGAATTTAAAGCTGGGCTGTTTTTTCAACAACTTTTGCAGAGCTGAAGCGATTATATAACGAAATTGGGTTGTTGTTATATTTCTTGGTAAAAATTTTGTTGATTCAACCATTAAAAAGTTTAAAAAATTTTACCTAACTTCAAATATCAATTAAAAAATAAATACCCACCCCTGGCCAAAAACTTTACAAAAGGATACCCCTTCAGTTGTCACACATGCCCTTTACCACTTCTCATGTGACATGAGTTTGATAACTGCTTGTGCAATTTCCCGCAGTCTAAAGTTTGCTTTTTAGTCTTCAATATTTGAGTGAGTCATGCTTTGGAAATGACAATTGATTTTTATTATCTCAAAAACTATTGAATTTTCAAGTTCGCGTATAGCAAATCTAAATTACATCAATAAAATACCTGATTTTCTAAGACTGTGTAGAGTTCTATACGATTGAAAATGTCCAAAATGGCTGACACTGCAATATTTTTTGGCAGGTTTATTAACAATAACAGCTTATAGCTCGAAACAAAGAAATCCAAGGAAAACCATTTAAATGTTCTTAATTAATACAGTTCTGTCATGCGGATTTTAATAAAAAAAATTTCTCCAGTTTTGTGCCATTAAAACGGGCCTAAGTTATATTTCGTTTTAGCTGGGTGAAATTAAATCGCGCGCATTTAAGATTGAGTGAAAAATAAGACCCTGTATGCATCCAATTTAAATACAAGTAAAGGATAGCTCCAATGGTACTTGAACTTGTTCGTAACTTTGGCTATAGTCGTGTCTGATCTGTGTAATTAAGCTAAATAATGGCAAACGTGTGTTTTTCAAATATTGCATGGTTTTTAGTATATTAGCGTATTGCTGTAGAAATAGCTTTTTCATTGATTAAAAGGCTTAATTGTATTTCAATCGTCGTTTTATATATTGCGTCCTTCTTTCCTTAAAGTGGCATTCAAGTCCGTTCTGCGCATGCGCGTGTTTTGTATACATATTTTATTTCAAACAATAGATGATTCAATAAAAATCCGATCCGTAGGCCCACACGAAATATAAAATTGAACCAGGTATAAAGTTTAAAGGTTTTTCAAAGGACAAATCTTTTTGAATTAGCTGTAATTGGAAATTCTGGCACAAACATCAGCAAACGAAAGGTAGTCTGTTTGGTGCAACCTTAACTCAAATTGGACAGTGGCTAGACTTTGCTTTACGGCTGGTCTAGAATGGAGAATTAAGACGACTCCTTCCCTCCACTAGTCTGGGGGTTCGCCTAGGGCAAGCGTTAGTACCCCCATGCCTCCCTACCTGGGGTCACAGGTGAAGTCGCCAGGGAACAGAGCAGCGATGGATTACCCAACCTGATGCAATTTTGTCAACAGTTTCACCATATTAACCTGATGCAATTTTGGCAACAGTATCACTATCTACTTTTGGCAACGGTTGCTGACGCTTGCAGGCGTGTGATGTCTACCAAGGATGAAATATCTTGGTTTATGAGCTGGGCACTGCGATGGCCGGATTAGGTTAGTACCATTACAAATTTCTGTGTGTTGTGGAAAGGCTAGAGAGTTTGCATATATAGCTATATTTATGCGCGGCTACTGAATAAATGTAGTTCATATAACTGCTGTTGTGGAAAAGGGATTTTTTCCATTTGCAAAAAATCTTTCCTTTTTTCATAAGTAAGTTAATTTAAAATTAAGATGTTTCAAAACCGTTCCTGGCTGTTTTTGTTGATAATTCTTTATATTCCAATATTTGTTTCACTTTAAACGCGACGGCGCCATATATTGTCACGACATCACTCCGTTTAGCATTATGTAAAAACTTCGTATGTTGAATAGTAATTTAATATTTACAAAGAAAGAGATACAAGCTCGCGCCTCGCTTTCAATTTTACATTAAGTTACATATCTCTATGCCGTCGTTCTAAGCTAACCCATGCGCAATAACAAAGTAATTACACAATGTACTACTTTCTAAATAAATGTTTCGACCAATGGCAATGCTCTGTGATCGCCACAAATAATCTATATAACAATATAACAAATCGACTTACGAGTAGCAACAATAAACACAAAGCAACATTTTTGTAAGCACTACAGTGTGCAGGAGTGCAAATTGACTATTGAGTATTGATTTTAAGCAAACCGTGTCTCAATATCATGCTATTCTATCAAGTTGCTAACAATTTTAAAAAGTAGCGAATAGCGATTCGCTGTTTGAAAAGTGTGGTCAACTTCTTGGCTACTTTTAGGCAAAATGTAGTTCGCTATAACTACAACTACTGTTTTAAAAAAGTAGTCAAAAACTACTGGCTACTTGAAAATTGTAGTTCGCTACAGTAGCGAACTACAACTACTTCGCTACAACCCACCCTTGCCACAAAGTCCAGCAGTTCGTCGATATGTACATGTTCGACTCTTCACTTATCTTCGTAATTTTAGCCTTCGCCACCTGTCATCAGCTTACGCGATATGCCACGTACGAACGAGAAGCCGTTGTGAGGAGAAATGAACATTTTAAGTAGAGTTATTAATTAAAATCATTTCGTACATGTATATTTTTTTCGAAAGTGAGATGTTTTCTTGAATTTTATATACTCTCTAAAATGTGTTTATTTTTCAAGAGTGTGAAATACTAAACTATATTT